TACGTTATTGAGACTTCTGGGTAAAGTCTACGTAAGGATGCTGGAAAGAAGGTGCCGCGAAATAACTGAACTCAAGATACAAGAAGTGCAGTGTGGCTTCCGGCCCAGTCGAAGCACTTCTGACCAAATATTTGCCCTGCGCCTTATTGCTAAGAAATCGTGAGAGTACGCCCATCCAGTAAATGTTTTTTTTCACCTAGAAAAAGCCTATTACCGGATTCAACGGAGTCTGTGGTCATGCCTTCGAGCATACAGGATAGACGTCCGGCTGCTAAGGGCCATCCAATAGTGTATTCTGATAACAGGTGGTGCGTCAGAGTAAATGACGTAAAGTCGTTCAACGTTTGCACTGGTCTCTGCCAAGGCTGCGTCTTGTCCCCTATCCCGTTTGTGTTGTACATGGATAGAATAGTCAGGAGCTGCCAAGGAGATGACTGTATCGGTGTAGGAGAATTGAAGACGAGAAGTTTGTTTGTAGAAGACCTTATTTTGTTAGCATCCTCTGAAGCTGATCTTCGGTGCTCCCTAGAAAGGACCGGTATGCGTGTAAACGAATGTAAAACAAAAAGCGTAGTGCTTTCTCGTTCTCCGCACTGCTCTCTTCAGATTGACGGATTGGAGCAGGTGGAGAAATTCAAGTACCTCGGAAATGTATTTACTAGTGATGAAAAATTGGAGGAAGAGATTGAGTAGCCAGTGGCGTTCTGCGTGAAGCAGCACGATCAACTGTGACTAAAGAAGAGCTCAGTTTGAAAAGTAAGCTCTCGGTTTTCAAGTCGATCTTAATACCCATGCTTACCTAGGGTCATGAGTCACTGACCATCACTGAAAAACTTCGAACCCGAGTACAAACTGCTGAAATGGGCTTTCTTAGACGAGTCGCTGGACTTACGCGTCTCGACATGATCCGGAATACTGACATCCGGAAGAGCCTTGGTATACAGCCATTGTTTCTCGAAATTGAGAAGTCACAGCTGCGATGGTTTGGCCATGTGTTGCGAATGCCTCGAGAAAGGAAGGCTAAGCAATTGTTTCTTGCAAATCTGACCGGCAGAAGAACCAGAGGACGGCCAAGATTAACTTGGTGCAAATATTTAGAAGGTGTCTGTTCCAGGCTCCAGTTGTCTTCTGCCGAAGCAAAGACTCTGGCACAGGATCGGCAAAGTTGGAAGCTGTGTCCGACGAGTCTGCCTCTGCGACCCGAAAGGAGAAGCGGCGATGGAAGAAGATGATGTACTTCGCCTTATCATAGATTCCTTACCTCAGTCGTAGGATATGCAGAAGTCGACATGTGATTTGCGGAAAGCCGGTTATAACTATGCTAGATTCAACTGCTTCCAGTAAAACAGCAATAAGGAGTCGAGTGCTCTGTGGTGTGAAAGATATCACTAAATCCTTTCAACTAATCTTCCTTTTACCGCTGCCACAAGAAGATGAAACAATTAGTGGCACCCATAAATCTATGACTATTACTCCAAACTCTATCATGATAGAAGTCCATGGAACAAAGAATGTTGAATCCTAACGAGACGCGATTATCGATGAGTACATTAAAAGTTTAAAAACAATATAGTATAATCCGAAGGCTTACTTCACGCATGTGTCTACAAAATCGTAATAACCGTACTTTTAAAGATTGATCCAACGAGCAGGAGAAAACCCTGGCTGCAATTCCTCCTTGGCCAACTTGCAGATCTGTGACTGGAAGACTGTGACAGTTCCAACGACAAATTGGCTTTGTTTTAGTCTGCTCTGAATCATCATGCAACATGAGACTACCAAATGACAATGAATAGAAGAGAGATCATTGAAAAACCATTTACGACATACTCTCCAACATTCCACACAATCACGATGCCGTCTTTTGCAGCACTGACCAAATAACTTCCATCTGACGTAAACTTTATTTTTGATACCGTCTGGTAATGCCCGTCAACTATCGATCGCAATTTGCCATTGCAAATCTAGCAAAGAAAGTAATACAACGTAATTACGATGTTTTATTACTTACAGACCAGGTGTAGATATATTCTCCCACGCCTGCGCAGCAGACGCTGCCGTCCGGTGCAACTTCAATACAACTAACAGCTGAAGGAAGGAACGAACGAACATGATGACGATTCTAAAAATGGCATTGTATTTCCAGAAAAAAAATGATTTACACACCCGCTTCTGCAGGCTGATCGCATGTAAAATCGGCTTGTCGACGGCAGGAATCATCAGCCACTGCTTACGCAGAACATGAGCTTCGAGTGGAAGGTCACCACCGAAAACACTCCCCTTCATGCTCCACTCAACGACTGAAGACAACGGGTTTACAATTTGGACTGCCCATGATTCCACAGTCTGGGAGCAAATCAACAGCAGCTACAACAGAAAAGCAATCAATAACAAATTTCGTAAGGGTTCGCAGTTTACTGTGATCGAAAGCGCTATGGATTTCGCATAAAAACAAATTTACTGTCTAACAACAGCCGTAGAATACGCAATGAGGAACCTGCTCGAAAGTTCAGGTAGAGTAGCCAGATTCTAAAATTTACAGTTTTTTCTTCCTTGCTCAACGGATTTACATAAATGTAATTGTAACCGTTCCAAAACATCAATTACAATCTTAGTCATTTAAGACGATAAAATGACATTTATATGGTGCTGCCTGCAGCTGCATTCCGTACAAAGCCAAGGTAAGAAATATAGATTCTTACCACATCAACTCATCAGTCCTCCACAGCATTTATGGGCGATTCAATAAGCCGCAATTTTTTTTTATACGCTAACACTTTATAGTTCGGTAATCTATTCGAGACTATGTCTCTGGGATGCTCTCAAAAATCTAAAAGTCAAAGACAGCATTCTTTTCTCATTGGCCATATGACTCTCTTTCGATAAATCGGCTATAGTGGATCTCTTGTTCTAGTTTTACCATTATTAGTTTGTTACTTGGACATAAGTTTCTGCTATTTAAACTGAAAAGTAAAATTCTTTTGCAACACTGCTTAAGCTTTAAATGTTAATACATTATCTAATTCCGTACTGCTTTCCGTAACAGCCCAAAGAGAAAGTGAAATACCAGTTAAATAGCAAAATTAATTAAGATAAGTTAATCATTTAATAAATTAATTAACATTAAATTAGTACAGCAAATGATCAGATAACTAAAACGAAAGACCGATATAAATCCAAATACAAGAAACCTACCAAGTTTGACTTTTTCGCATTCATTCTGAGGCACTGCCCTAGAAAGAAACTTTTGTAACATATCAAACCAGTAAGCATGCAATTAGCGCAAGCAATGAGAAAGTAAAGGAGCACAAGTTACACAGCGCATGAATTTGTGGTAAATGTTACAAATTCTTAGATGGTTAACAGACTTAAAATAGATGGTTTATGCTCATTAACGGGCAACACTCCAGCACTCTTGTTTCATTGAGACGTCTCTAATTAAGCTTAACGAAACAAAGAACTGAAAAAAAGTTCCTAAACGATGATTTAAGCTAAAATGAATTTTTATGCTGCGCACCAACTGTGCTAGTTCAGCTAACTTTCGAAATTTCGAAAAATCAGATTTCCATTTTTCAAAACGCAATAAAGAGTGTGCAAAGTCCCTAAGTGGCGTGATCATGATGAAAACTGACAATCAAAACAGACCTTCACGGCTACAACACGCTGATCTACTGGAATCAATCTGCCTTT